GCCTGCTGCATCGCGGTGGTAATGGGGCCTCTGCAGAGAGGAAGTCGGGGAGGCCAGAACTAGCGTTTCGCTTGACGCGCTCCCCCAATTTGACCACGAACGGGCAAGCCATGTCCCCCAAGCGGCTCCCCCTTGAGGGGCCCAAGTGTTATGCCTGCTACATCGAGATGATCATGGGGCCCTCAAACGAACGCAGTCGGCGGCGCCCAACAAGCGAACCGCTCGAGACATCCCCATAACCTGGGCGCGATCAGAAACACATCATATTTCTGGCGGCTCGGTTGTCCAAGTCCCCCGCCTGCTGCATCGTGGTGGCCATGAGGATCTCAAAAGAGATCGATCGGCGGCGCCAGAAACCACGCCACTCGAAGCATCATCACAGCCTGGACGCGAACAAACACAGAATATACCCCCGCGGCTCCCCGTCGGAGTGCCCAAGTGCCAGGTCTACTACAGTATACCGCGGTGGACATGAGGCTCTCGAAAGAGAGGGTTGGCGGCGCCCAGCAAGCGAACCGCCCGAGATGCCACCACACTCTGGGAGCAAACTGGGCAATCAATAACTCCTGACGCCCCCCCCCACCCCCAGGGGTACCCGAACGGCGAATCTGCTATATCGCATTGAGCATGGGCGGGTCTGACTATGACCCATCGAAGAGTGAGTGGGGGTGAGAATGGGTAAGCCTGGGCGTGAATGCTCCGAGAGTGGGTGGCCTGTGTGAAGCTGACTGTGAATGATTCGGCGAAGTGAGCCGGGGAATGTGCGAGTATGTGTGTGAGTGAGTCTGAAGATGGAGTTGACTCAGCGTGGACGGTCTGAGTGTAAGTGAATGTGATGACGAGCGAGTTTAGGTAACAATGGGTACGAACGGTGAGTTATGAGAAGGGAGGAAGCCGGGAATGATAAGGATGCGGAGGCGGAAACATCACACTGAACGCATTAACCGCATCTTGGGATATGGTGCGTGCTGCGGAGTGGCAGTCGCAGCGGCAGAGGCAGTAATCTAAACATCGAAGTACGAATTGTCGCATGGCGGATTGTCGTATGAAGCATTTTTTCAGCAAGGTGGCAAGGATGACCTAGCGCTCAAGACTCGCTGCCTTTGCATTTCACCACCTGCAGGGCTAGCTTCGAAGAATCACCAGGCCGCTGGGGCTGTCATTCGCGATAGTAGTAGTAGTAGTAGCAGTAGTAATCGTCGTCGTAGTAGTAGTAGTAGCAGTAGAAGTAGTAGTAGTAGTAGTAGTAGTAGTAGTAGTAGTAGCAGCAGTAGTAGTAATAATAGCCGTCGTCATCGTCGTAGTAGTAGTAGTAGTAGTAGTACTAGTAGTAGTAGTAGTAGTAGCAGTAGCAGTAGCAGTAGTAGTAGTAGTAGTCGTAGTAGCAGCAGTAGTAGTAGTAGTAGTAGTAGTGGTAGTAGTAGTAGTAATAGTAGTAGTTATAGTAGTAGTAGTCATAGTAGTAGTAGCAGTAGTAGTAGTAGTAGTGGTAGTAGTAGTAGTGGTGGTAGTAGTAGTAGTAGTGGTAGTGGTAGCGGTATAAGTAGTAGTACTAAAGATGGTAGTAGTAATAGTAGTAGTAGTAGTAGTAGTAGTAGTAGTAGTAGTCGTAGTAGTAGTAGTAGTAGTAGTAGTAATAGTAGTAATGGTGGCAGTGGTAGTAGCCGTAAACATAATAATATAATATTGTATTGGTGGCAGTAGTAGTAGTGGAACTTGTGGTAATAGTACAACTAGTCGTTATGATAGTCGTAGTCGTCGAGATAGTAAGCATACGAGTAAGAGTGAAGCAGTAGAAATCGTAGTAGTGGTGGTCGTAGTAGTAGTAGCAGTCGTAGTAGTAGTAGTAGTAGTAGTAGCAGTAGTGCGAACAATATTAGTTGTCGTAGTAGTGGTGGTAAAAAAAAGTAATAGTAATAGTCGTGGTAGTCATGGCCCTGATCGTAGTCGTAGGGATCGTAGGAGTCCTACTAGTAGTAGTGGTAGTAGCAGTAGCAGTAGCAGTATTAGTGGTAGTCGTCGTAGCGGTCGTAGAAGTAAAAACACTAGTAGTAGTAGTAGTAGTAGTAGTCGCAACAAGTTGTAGTAGTAACAGTCGTAGTTGTCTTCGTCATCATCATCGTCGTCGTAGGCGTAGCCGTTGATAGCAGGAAGATAGTGGTAGTAGTAGTAGCAGTAGTAGTAGTAGTAATAGTCGTAGTAGTAATAGTCGTATCCGTAGTCGTAGTAGTAGTAGTAGTAATAGTAGTAGTAGTAGTAGTAGTAGTAGTCGTAGTAGTCGTAGTAGTCGTAGTAGTCGTAGTAGTCGTCGTAGTAGTAATAGTAGTAGTCGTAGTAGTAGTAGTAGTAGTAGTAATAGTAATAGTAGTAGTAGTAGTAGTAGTAGTAGTAGTAGTAGTAGTAGTAATAGTAGAAATAGTAGTAATACTAATCGCAGCAGTAGTAGTAATAGTAGCAGTAGTAGTAGTAGTAGTAGTAGTAGTAGTAGTAGTAGTAGTGATAGTAGCAGTAGTAGTAGTAGCAATAGTAGTAGTGGTAGTAGTAGTAGTAGTAGTAGCAGCAGTAGTAGTAGTAGTAGAAATAGTAGTAGTAGCATGATCAGCCTTAGTAATAGTACTCATTTTACATGTAGTAGCAGCAGTAGCAGCAGGAATCGTAATCGTAGCGCTAGTCAAATGAGAACAATACTAAAATGTGTTTGGAGGGGAGGAAGGGGGCGTGGACTGAAGAGCACGATGCCAGGTTCGCCTACTCAGTCGTGAAGTCTGTAACCTACTTCAAATGCCGTACACATGCAAAGCAGACGAGCTGTATTGCAAACGATAGCGTAGTTAAACAGTCACTGTGCGTTGGCTAGCACTGTGTTGACAAATGCGAAACTGTACTGGGCCCTTTAGACGTGATCCGGGGCGGAGAGCTCCCAAGGCGGGCGACGAGTGCCGCGCGTCACATGTATTCTAAGGTACTGGTCTGTGTTCAGCTGATTCTTGATTCCACAGTCGAAGCGTAATGAAGCCCTACCGATCGCATTCAATCGTGAACTCTTCGGCCGTCCTCCGGCGTCAGCCGTGGATTGCCCTACAGCTTCCACGCCGACCACGGGTAGGCAGGACGAGCAAGAGGGAGGCGCGAGAAAGGACAAGCAAGGAGGGGGAGGGGACGAAGCAGCCAGAAAACCTTAACAGCGCAATCGTACTAGTAGTAGTAGTAGTAGTAGTAGTAGTACTGGTAGTAGCGGTCGTAGTAATAGTAGTAGTAGTAGTAATAGTAGTAGTAGTAGTAGTAGTAGTAGTAGTAGTAGTAGTAGTAGTAGTAGCCGCAGCAGCAACAGCAGTAGTAGTAGTAGTAATAGTAGTAATCGAAGTAGTAGCAGTAGTAGCTGTAGTAGTAGTAATAGTAGTAGTCGTCGTCGTCGTAGTCGTAGTCGTACTCGTAGTAGTAGTCATAATTGTACTAGTAGTAGCAATGGCAGTAGTCGTTGTCGTAAACGTCATACTCGTAGTCGTAGTAGTAGTAATAGTAGTAGTAGTAGTAGAAGAAGAAGTAGTAGTAGTCATGGTAGTAGTTGTTGTAGTAGTAGTAGTCGTAATATGAGTACTAGAAATTCATATAGTAGAAAAGCTAGTGCACGTTGTCGTAGTAGTAATAGTAGTAGTAATAATAGTAGTGGTAGCAGTAGTAGTAGTAGAAGTAGTAGTAGTTGTTGTCGTCGTGGTAGCAGTGGAAGTACTAGTAGTGGTAGTCGTAGTAGTAGTAATGGTCTTAGCAGAACTAGTAGTAACAGAAATAATGGTAAAAGTAAGAGTAATCGTAGTAGTAGAAATATACACATACATATAAACTAGTAATCGTAGAATAGTAGTAAACGTGATAATAATCGTCGTAATGGTATCGTGGGATATATAGTAGTAACCGTGGTATAAGAATAGAAATCATGGTAACAATCGGAGCAATCGTATAGTGGATGTAGAAGTAGCAAGCTTCGTAATGGTAGTCGTAATATGCATCATATCGTAAGTAGTAGTAGTCGTAGTAGTAGTAGTCTTAGTATTAGGTGGTAATAATAAGCATCGTCGCAGTAGTAGTTGTAGTAGTCGCAATTCTACTAGTAGTAGTAGTAGTAGTAGTAGCAGTAGTAGTAGTAGTCGTAGTAGTAGTAGTAATAGTAAAAGTAGAAATAAAAGTAACAATAAGAATGCGAGTCGTAGTCGTAGTATTACGAGTAGGAATAGTATTAGTAAAAATAGTAGTCGCATTCGTAGTCGTAGTAGTAGCATGCGTCGTGCTAGTAATCGTAGTTGTAGAACTACTAGAGGTAGTAGTAGTCGTAGTAGTAGTAGTAGTAGTAGCAGTGGTAGTGGTAGTAGTAGTAGTAGTAGTAGTAGTAGTAGTAGTAGTCGTCGTAGAGGTAGTAGTAGTAGTAGTAGTAGTAGTAGTATTAGTAGTAGTAGTCGTACTAGTAGTAGTAGTAGTGGTGGTAGCAGTAGCATCAGAAGTAGTAGGAGTAGTTGTAATGTGAATGTAGTAGTAGGACTAACAGTAATAGTAGTACTAGGGGTAGTAGTAGTAGTAGTAGTAGTAGCAGTAGTTGTAGTAGTAGTAGTAGTAGTAGTAGCAGTAGCAGTCGCAGTAGTAGTAGTAGTGGTAGTAGTAGTAGTAGTAGTAGTCGTCGTAGTAGTCGTAGTAGTAGTAGTAGTAGTTGTAGTAGTAGTAGTAGTAGTAGTAGTAATATTAATAGTAGTAGTAGTCGTAGTATTCGAATACTAGTTTCATTAGTAGTAATAGTGGTAGTAGTCGTAAAATGCTCTCAGCAGTCGTCGTAGTCGAAATACTCGTAACCGTAACAGTCGTGATAGTAGTCGCCGTAGTAGTTGTAGTACTCGTGGTAGTGACAATATCGTGATTCGTGTGTAAATATGCTGGCCACGACGACTGACTCACAACGGCGAGAACGATCACTTTGAGTAACTAATGGCAAGGATCACGCGCACATGCCCCACCTGCGCCGCTGCACTGGTGGCTTCGCCGAGAACGGCTCGACGCCCGTGTGCCGTCTCTGAGCGCTGTTGTCGCTGCGGACATGGCCGGTCGCCGCGCACACCTGAAGGGGGTCGCTCGAGAGTGGAAAATAGGAACGCGTTCATTTGCGAACACCACCCCAGACACTCAGCGCGAATTGTGCATGCTCGGAGTCTGTCAAGTTGCTTCATCCACTCGGCGGTGGGGGCATCTTCGATCTTCCTCCTCGATCTTCGATTCTCCACGAGCCTCGATCCTACTCTGACCTCGACTCCCCTCCTTGCCTCGATCCTCGATCCTCGACCGTGCCCCTCGATCCTCGACTCCTCGACGCCTCCTCCTCGCTCCCGAACCTTCTCGACATTCCCTCGATCCTTTTTTTTGTCGCCGCCCACCGTCGCCGCCGCCGTGCTGCCGGGCTCGCTGGCGGGCACGAGGCCGTGGCGCAAAAGGCCCCCCTTGCCGGGCGGGTCCGCGGCGAACGCGCGCACCATGGCCAGACAGGTCTAGGGGGGGGGAGGAGGTGGGAGAGGGGAGAAGGGCGGGAGAAGAGGGGGGGGGGGCAGGAGGAGGGGGGTGGGAGGAGGAGGGGTGGGCAGGGGGAAAAGGAGATGAGAAGGGGGGGGGAAGAGGGGGCAGGAGAAGGGGAGGGGGGGCTTTCCCTGACGGCCAGTGCGGACCTCCCGAAAAGGGGTCCCTTTGCGGAAGGTCCGCACTGGCCGCCAGGTGGGCTTCCGCTCGCGGTCCACGGGGCCTTCCGCAAATGGACCTCCATTTGCGGGGGGTCCGCCTTGGCTGTTGGTCACCCCTCTGGGGCCGCCAATGCAGACCTCCTTCAATGTGTTGACTTGCAGGAGGTCGTCTTATCCGGCCGAACAACCGGGGGGAGGGGTGGGGCAAGCTAACTGCGGTCGCGCCATATCTGATGTCCTGCCCCTCCCTCCCACGCCTTTCCGCTGCGTCGAGCCACTGTCTGTTTACACAGCCGGGTGTCGGGGCAGACCTTGATCCCGAGGGTGCGACCCAATCGAAAATGACTGAACCCCTGGGAGTCTCACGAACAACGATGCGGCGAGAGTGCCGTTCCCATTGAACGGAGGCTGCATCGAGACCATTACAAATTGCACACGCTGCAGCGGGAACACCCGTGTCTCTGATGCACGAGTGCGGCCATCGCTGCGATGAGAGCGTCTCTCCCTTGGACGGAAGACTGACGGAAACTCGCAAATTTGGCAACACCTACAACGAAAACACTACTTTCACAGAGGCAAAGAGCACGGCCAGCGCTACGGCGAGAGCGTCGATCCGTTGGAAGGAGGATGTCGTAAACTCATTTTTCATGTGGCAGGCGCTGCATCTGGAGTTTCGTTTTCGACAGGCCGAAAACGTTCTGACGGGAAAAAGCCAACTCGGGACAATCTGGTGTACAAAAACAATATGCGAGGTAGGAGGGCTCAAATCCGCCGACCCTGTCGGCGTGTGTGAGGGGCTTGTTCGTTCGAGTCGTCCTCTTCGTCGTTCGTTAGTCGTCGTCTCTGCCGGCTCCGTTCCCTGCGGCCCCCATTTCCGTGGGCCCGTCGCCGCTCTCCCCTTTTCCTGGACTCTCTTCCCCAAGCGCGCCAGCCAAGCGAAATTGAGCAACGTCGTAATTCAATCGAAGGGAAGCCCCCTTCACTCTGATCTCTCCCCCGTCGGAGGGGGGGTCCCGGGGGGGGTCCCGGGGGAGATACGCCTCGGCCCCGAGGGGGGTCGAAAGCAAGACTGTCCAAGAGAGCCCCGCATCGCCGAACGATCTGTCCATGGCATCCAGGAGCACTTCCAAGAGGGCCCCAAGAGGCACAAATCATACTTTCCTTCACATGTTCGGAGGATTTGGGCGTTCTCGCCTCTTCCGCTTCGCGACGCTCCAAGTCGGCTCAATAGGCCCCCAAGATCGCCCCAAGACGACCCGAAGTCATCCAAGAGATCCGAAGGCGCTCCGAAGAGACCTCGACAAACATCCCCTCCTCCCCCTGCTCCTCACCCTCCTCCTCTCCTCCTCCTGTTCCTCAGCATTGTCTTCATCGTCCTGCACCTGCTCCATGCCCTTCTCGACCTCCTTCTGCCCCAACTCCCCCTCCTCATCCTCCTCTGCGTGTTCTTCCTCATCCTCCCCCTCCTGTTCCACGGCGTCCTCCTCCTCCTGCCCCCTGCTCCCCATGCTTTTCCTCCTCCTCCTCCTCCTCACCCTTTCCCTCCTCCTCATGTCCCTCCTTTTCCTGCTCCTCCGGCTCCCATGTTCCTCGTCCTCCTACTGCTCCTTCCCACCTCCGTCCTCCTCCTGCCCCTGCTCTCCCTCCTCATCCTCCTCCCCATCCTGCGTTTCCAGTGCGTCCTCCGCCTCCTCTTCCTGCTCCTTCTCCCCCTCCTCCACCACCTAGTCGTCCTCGTCGTAGTCGTCTTCAGGGTCGGCGGCACTTGCCGTACGGCTTTCACAGTCATTGCAGCATCAAGGGACGTAGTAGTAGTAGTAGTAGTAGTAGTAGTAGTAGTAGTAGTCGTACTAGTACTAGTACTAGTACTCGCACTAAAACGAGTAGTAATAGTAATAGAAGAAGTAATAGTAGTCGTAGTAGTAGTAGTAGTAGTAGTAGTAGTAGTAGAAGTAGTAGTAGTAGTAGTAGTAGTAGTAGTCGTAGTCGTAGTCGTAGTCGTAGTCGTAGTCGTAGTCGTAGCCGTAGTCGTAGTAGTAGTAGTAGTAGTAGTAGTAGTAGCAGTATTAGTAGTAGTAGTAGTAGTAGTAGTAGTAGTAGTAGTAGTAGTAGTAAAAGTAGTAGTAGTAGTAGTAGAAATACTAGTACTAGTAGTAGTAATGCTAGTAGCCGTAGTAGTGGTAGTAGTAATAGTAGTAGACGTAGTCGTAGTAGTCGTCGTAGTAGCAGTAGTGGTAGTAGTAGTAATAGTAGTAGTAGTAGTCGTAGTAGTAGTAGTAGTAGTAGTAGTAGTAGTAGTAGTAGTAGTAGTGGTAGTAGTAGCAGTGAAAATAGTGGGTGTAGTACTAGCAGCAGTAGTAGTAGTAATAACAGTAGCAGTAGAAATGGTAGCAGTAGTAATAGTAGTAGTAGTACTAGTAGTAGTAGTAGAAGTAGTAGTAATAGTAATACTGGTAGTCGTAGTAGTAGTAGTAGTAGTAGTAGTAGTAGTAGTCGTAGTAGTAGTAGTAGTAGTAGTAGTAGTAGTACTGGGAGTGGTAGTAGAAGTCAGAGTAGTAGCCGTCGTCGTCAACGTCGTCGTCGTCGTTGTCGTGCTCATCGTCGCCGTCGTCTTAGTAGTGGAAAAAAGAGCAGGGGTAGTAGTAGTAGTAGTCGTAGTAGTAGTAGTAGTAGTAGTAGTAGTAGTAGTCGTAGTAGTAGTAATAGTAGTAGTAGTAGAAGTAGTACTAGTGCTAGTACTAGTACTAGTACTCGCACTAAAAATAATAGTAATAGTAGTAGAAGAAGTAATAGTAGTCGTAGTAGTAGTAGTAGTAGTAGTAGTCGTAGTCGTAGTCGTAGTCGTAGTCGTAGTAGTAGTAGTAGTAGTGGTAGTAGCAGTAGTAGTCGTAGTAGTAGTAATAGTAGTAGTAGTAGTAGTAGTAGTAGTAGTAGAAATACTAGTAGTAGTAGTAGTAGTAGTAAAAATAGTAGCCGTAGTAGTGGTAGTAGTAATAATAGTAGACGTAGTCGTAGTAGTCGTCGTAGTAGCAGTAGTGGTAGTAGTAGTAGTAGTAATAGTAATAGTAGTAGTCGTAGTAGTAGTAGTAGTAGTAGTAGTAGCAGTAGTAGTAGTAGTGGTAGTAGTAGTAGTCGTCGTAGTAGTAGTAGTAGTAGTAGTAGTAGTAGTAGTGGTAGTAGTAGCAGTGAAAATAATGGGTGTAGTACTAGCTAGCAGCAGTAGTAGTAGTGATAACAGTAGCAGTAGAAATGGTAGCAGTAGTAGTAGTAGTAGTAGTAATAGTAGTAGTAGTAATACTGGTAGTAGTAGGAGTAGTAGTAGTAGTAGTAGTAGTAGTCGTCGTAGTAGTAGTCGTAGTAGTAGTAGTGGTAGTAGTAGTAGTAGTAGTAGTAGTACTGGTAGTGGTAGTAGAAGTCAGAGTAGTAGCCGTCGTCGTCAACGTCGTCGTCGTCGTTGTAGTGCTCATTGTCGCCGTCGTCTTAGTAGTGGAAAAAAGAGCAGGGGTAGTAGTAGTAGTAGTAGTAGTCGTAGTAGTAGTAGTAGTAGTCGTAATAGCAGTAGCAGTCGTGAGTGGTAGTGGTAGTAGTAGTAGTCGTAGTAGTAGTAGTAGTAGTAGTAGTAGTAGTAGTGGCAATCATTCGTATACGAATACATAGGATAGCAGTAACAGCGCCAGTAGTAGCCGCAGCAGTACTAGTACTAGTAGTGAGAGTGGCAGTACTAATCGCAGTCGTCGAAAAGGTTGTGGTCGTAGTGGTAGTAGTAGTAGTAGTAGTAGTAGTAGTCGTCGTAGTAGTAGTCGTAGTAGTAGTAGTAGTAGCCGTCGTAGTAGTAGTAGTAGTAGTAGTAGTCGTTGTCGTAGCACACGTATGGAAAGCAGCAGCAGTAGAAGTAGTAGTAGTAGTAGTAGTAGTAGTAGTCGCAGCCGTAAAAAGGTTGTAGTCGTAGTCGTAGTCGTCGTAATACTAATAGTAATGGTCGTGGTAGTCGTTGTTTGACCCGGTAGTAGTAATAGTAGTCGCAGCCGTAATCGTATTCGTAGCTGTGGTAGTAGTCGTAGTAGTTGTAGTAGTAGCAGAAGACGCGAAAGTAGTAGCCGTAGCCGTAGACGTAGTATCAATGATCTTGATAGAAGTAACAATAGCCGTCGTAGTAGCAACAGAAGTAGTATTACTAGTAGTGGTACAAGCAGTCGTAGTAGTAGTAGTAGTAGTAGAAGTAGTAGAAGTACTAGCAAAAGTGAGAGCAGTAGAAGCAGACGTAGTAGCAGTAGTAGTAAAAGTACTAGTAGTAGTCGTACTCCTAGTGCTAGTAATACTAATAGTACTTCTGGCAAAAGTAATCGTAGCAGTAGTAGTCGTAGTACGAATGGTAGAAGTAGTAGTAGTAGGAGTAGTAGTAGTAGTAGTAGTCGTAGTCGTAGTAGTCATAGTAGTAGTAGTAATGAGACTAGAAGTAGTAGCAATAGTAGTAGTAGTAGTAGTAGTAGTAGTCGTCGTCGTCGTAGTAGTACTAGTATTATTAATATTAGTAGTAAAACTAGTCGCAGTACTACTAGTAGTAGTCGTAGTAGTAGTAATAGTAGTAGTAACACAAGTCGTCGTCGCAGTAGCGGTGGAAGTAGTAGTAGCAGTCGTCGCAGCAGTAGTCGTCGTATTGGTAGTAGTACTATTATTAATAGTAGTAGTAGTAGTAGTAGTAGTAGTAGTAGTAGGCGTAGTAGTAGTAGTAGTAGTAGTAGTAGTAGTAGTGGTGGTAGTAGCAGTGGTAGTAGCAGCCGTAGTAGTAGCAGTAGTAGTAGTCGTGGTAGCAGTATAGATTTACCCCATGTGGTCGCAGTATGAATAGTAGTAGTAGTAGTCGTAGTAGTAATAGAACTAGTAATAGTAGTATTAGTGGTAGTAGTAGTAGTAGTAGTAGTAATAGTAGTATTCGGAGTAGTCGTAGTAGTAGTAGTAGTAGTAGTCGTACAAGTGATCGTAGTAGTAGGAGTAGTAGTAGTAGTAGTAGTAGTAGTAGTAGCTGTGGTAGTAGTGGTCGTAGTCTTAGTAATAGTCGTAGAAGTGATCGTAATAGTTGTCGTAGTAGTAGTATTTGTACTCGTCGTCGTCGTAGTAGTAGTAGTAGTGGTAGTAATCGTAGTAGTGGTAGAAGTAGTAGTAGAAGTAGTAGTAGTAGTAATAATAATAGGGTTAGTAATAATATTAGTCGTAGTAGTGGCCGTAGTCGTAGTAGTGGTAGTAGTAGTAGTAGTAGTAGTAGTCGTCGTAGTAGTAGCCGTAGTCGTAGCCGTAGTAGTAGTAGTAGTAGTAGTAGTAGTAGTAGTAGTAGTCGTAGTAGTAGTAGTAGTAGTAGTAGTAGTCGTAGTAGTAGTACTAGTAGTAGTCGTAGTCGTAGTCGTAGTCGTAGTATTCGTCGTAGTAGTAGTAATAGTAGTAGTAGTAGTAGTAGTAGTAGTCGTAGTGGTAATAGTAGTAGTAGTAGTAGTAGTAGTAGTAGTAGTAGTAGTAGTAGTATAGTACTATAGTAGTAGTAGTAGTAGTAGTAGTAATAGTAGTAGTAGTAGTAGTAGTAGTATAGTATAGTATAGTATAGTAGTATAGTATAGTAGTAGTAGTAGTAGTAGTAGTAATAGTAGTAGTAGTAGTAATAGTAGTCGTAGTAGTAGTAGTAGTAGTAGTAGTAGTAGTAGTATAGTAGTAGTAGTAGTAGTAGTAGTAGTAGTAGCTCGTCGTCGTAGTAGTAGCAGCAGCAGTAGTAGTAGTAGTAGTAGTGGTGGTAGTGTAGTGGTAGTGGTAGTGGTAGTGGTAGTGGTAGTGGTAGTGGTAGTGGTAGTGGTAGTAGTAGTAGTAGTAGTAGTAGTAGTAGGAGGAGGAGGAGGAGGAGGAGGAGGTTGACGGGAAAAGAGTAATGAAGAGGGGTCGGGGCAACCCAGGAGGAATGATGGGGAGAAGGGGCACAAGGAGAAGGAATAACAGGATAAGTAGGCGCAGGAGGAGGGCAAGCAGCAACAGAACCGAAGACCCACATTTCGATGTGTCTCTGGACCCATCTTGGCCTCCGGAAGCCACCTGACGCATCAGTGAATATCTAGGGGCTTCCGGAAGCTCCAGCGAGCAGGAGGTGGATTAGCCGGAGGAGGAGGAGGAGGAGGAGGAGGAGGAGGAGGAGGAGGAGAAGGAGGAGGAGGAGGGGGAAAAGGAGGAGGTGAACATACCGACACGAATCACCCGCTGGGTGAGGAGGTGGAGAAGGAGGAGGAGAAGGGGGAGGGGGAGAAGGGGGAGGGGAGAGATGCGCAGGGGGAAGGCAAGGGGAGGAAAACGGAGGAATGGGGAGAGAACAAGGGGCAGGGCGGACGAGGACGGAATATGGGGTAGGAGAAGGGGAGGACGAAGGCGGGCGAAGACGGGGAGGAGGGGATTGGGCGGGAGGGGATGGGGGGGGAAGGAAAGGGACGGAAGCAGAGGAGGGGGGGAGGACGGGAAGGATGGGGGGAAGGGAGGGGCGGGAGGAGGGGGACAAAAACTATGAAGTACTAAAAATGCGGCAGTCCTGCAACGGTAGTCGCAAGGCGACGCCTCGAGCCCCAATGATGGCGCCCCAACTCCGCCTCCTGCCCAACATCCTCCCTGATGCCTCCCCGGAAACACCACTCCGTGTGCTGCAACCAACATGTCACTAGGGAGGTCTAAGCGTTGCGCCTAAGATCTCCCCTCATCTTCTTTTCTAAACGCCGCGATTCCAGATGGCTCCATAGACAGGAGGAAAGGGTCGTCATCTGCTTCCCGCACCAAGGCGGCACACGCTCGTCCTTAACAACTGTACCTGTTGCGCAGGTGATGCACAAATATGGCTCCCTCCTTCTCGCCGCACACCCTCCTTTCAGACATCTTCAACAATCGCACACATGTCTAGCACAGGTCAGCTTCGTCTCGGCTTCTGTCAATGCCTCCATCCTGGTGTATCCTGCAGCCATCGGGCTCTCTCCCAGACATCATACATGCATGATGCTTTGACTGGAACTAATTGTGTTAGACCCCTGAGACGTTGCTGGTGCAAGCGGCAAGTGCACTGAAGAGTCCATTGACCCTCGCGGACCAGTCAAACAGTCTCGTGCTCAAATATGCTACACTGCATAGAGCGCACTGGTTTCAAGGGATGCGCTCTGGCACCAGACACTCCCACGCACCACATCCGCATGCTTGACGTGTGCGGGCCGCCACCAGAAAGATCCGACTGTATGCCCGACCCGAAGGCTGATGCGTGCGGATGGGCACTCTGCCTGCAGGGCTGGGGGCCCTTGAGGTCCTCTTCGAAGGGGGGCCAGGCGAAGAGGGGAACCCACCCTCAGCGCAAACCGTTGCCCACACGTGCCGCTGCGCGCGGCCAGCACGGGCGGTCGTGGAGAGGCAGGCAGGCAACGACACCGCTACTCCCTCCCCCAGGGTGCATTGACCAGGATCTCGAGAAGAATCCAGCTAGTGGCGACGAGGGATCTCCAGGACAAGCAGCTGTATCGGTACCTCCTCCTCTTCCCCTGAGATCGGCCGTCTGCTGAGGAGGACGCGGAGAAACCCACGGGGGAACCCCCAACCGTGCTCAGCGGAGACCCCCGGCCCCTCTTGCACCTGCCTTGGGCGATCTCGGAACCAGCTGGGAGATGCACGGGCGAGGACGCAGCGGACATTGAACAACCTTTTGGGTCTTGAACCGTGTTGGCCTCCTGTCAGCCCTGGGCGGTGCCATGGACCTTGCCTGCCTCACCTGCTCCTCTCTGCGCTGGGCTCAGGGTCTCTCTCGCCGCCGACGAACCCGCGAGGCCGCTACACACATTTAGGCAAGCGCGTTCCACTACTCGCAAATTCACTACTCGCAAATGGCCTAGATCAGCTACGAAGGATTTACGATACATTGCATCGAGGCGAACGTGTTTTTAGGACGTTTGCGAGTAGGCACTGTGCGAGTAGTGGAACGCGCTCGGTGAACATCGAGGGCTCGATGACACAGGACCTGCGGGATCGTGACCGCCGCCGCACTGGGCCGAGGCAGCGCAGCACGAGGCGCCCGCTCTCGCCAGAGGCTGGCTCGCCGAGGTGAGGGCCCGCGTCAAGGTTATAATGCCAGCGCCACGCCTCTCCGCCTCTCGTCGAACCGAACGCTGCGACCCACCGCTGCTCGCCCCATCCTTCCGTTCACCTGGGCACAGACCACTGGAGCAATGGCTGCCACCTTCGCGCTCGTCTCGGACAGCGGAGGTGCGATTGGAGCCAAGGCCCCCTGCAAGCAGATAGTCAGCCCCTCTCGGGGGAGTTGCCTGGAGGGGCACCTCCGAAGCCCGTGGGGGGGGGAGCGCCCCCTTCGAGGGGCAGCGAGCGGCCAGAGAGTGTCGACTGCCATGGAGAGAGGGTTCGACTGAGAGGCGCAGGGCCGATCAGGGCCTGCTCCGTGGCAAAGAATGCCTCAAACATGCCCTGAGCGGGCCCTGCGCATGTGCGCTGAACTGGTAGACATGGCGAGCTCCTCAGAAGCTGCTGGCGAAACACGCTGGGTCAGGAAGAAGAGCGTGGCTTCTCGACGATCGGCACAGCCGCCCGCAGCGCATCACCGATCCCGCGACGCCCGCTGCGTGGGTCCGTCGTCTCCCAGCGGGTCTCCTTTCCCGAGCGCGGGGCTCTTTTCCCGAGCGAACTCCCGCAAGAAGACCAGAACATCGCCCAATGGGCAGATATCCTGGCTTACCTGCGCCCCTCCATCTGGCCCAAAAACTCTGAATCCGAACATGCCCAGATCTCTTGTGGGGTGGCTTTTGCTTCCGCTAGCCTTCCGCTGGCCCCGTTTTGCCTACGCCGACATCCCTGGCCCTTTCCGCTGGCCTTCCACCGAAGAAGGGATGTCGACTTCGCGCTTCCTCGGAGGCGAAGCCTTCTCTGGAACGTCCTGATTATCTGCAGCAGGGAGTCGGCGTGGGGGGTAGCGGGTGGGGGGGAGGAACTTGCGCTGCACCGAGCTGTCCAGCTGCGACAGCTGCTCCCTGGCGGCGCAGTGGATGGAGGAGGGCAAGACAGGGCCTCGATCTGGCTTGTGACACTGGCCAAGCACAGCCACTAAAACGCAATCTGGACGCGCCTCCGATCACACATCGCACGGCCGATCAGGGTAATCTCCGCGCAGATCAAGTAGGCCAGCGACCGGGCCGATAAGGCGATCGGCGACCACGCGATAGAGTCTTTCCTCGGAGAATCGGGGTAATATGCCAAAGGAATTAAGGTCTCATGATCAATACGCTCAGTGGTAGAGGGTTTGGGACGAGACATCGATGAAACAATATGTTATCCGTTCAGCAAATGCACCCAAGCATGGGAAGGGAGGAGGTCTGGCCAGCCGACGACCGACGACGTGCGCAAGCCGCGGGCTGGCGCGCTCCTTGTCTAACTTGAGTAGCAAACAGCTGCATAACAGCGCTGCAGTAATATCAAGGTGTGGCAAGGCAGGCGGCAACAGAGGCAGCTATAAGATGAGGCGGAGAGGAGCATATTTACTCCCCCCGCGGCGGGCTACGTAGAGCAACTCCAGCCACAGCCCACCAGGCCTGTACATATTAACAGCCACCGGAGCGAACCCCAAAAGCATTTTACCGCTCAGCGGTGGCTGCCAAGGGGCTAAAGGCCGAAGAAACCCGACGACTCCGCCTCTCTCGCCGAACCGACTGGGTCGTTCGACTTACGCCGAAACGACTGGGTCGTTCGGCTCGCATCCTCACTCACCCCTTGTGCCAGGAGGACTGCGAGCGTGAAGGCGGGGCAGGAGGTCTTGGAGCTGAGAATGAAGAACCCCCCTTCTGCCAGGCTGGCCGATGAGGCGCGGCTGATTTGCCTCCCTTACCAGGGTCAGCATATGGAGCTGGCCGAACGTTCTTGGACTTGTCCTTGTTCTTGTTGTACCCCTTTCCCTGGTCTCTCGGGAAATAGCGGGTGTAGTCGTTGTGAAACGCAAAATGCCACACGCGACTTTCGGAATCTCTGGGTTCCTTCCAATGCACTAGGTCGCGGTGCACCCAGAATCCCACCACCTCGCCGTGCTCGGAGTGCTGCGGGTAGTGGCGCATGGGGTCCCAGGCGCCATCGCCGCGGCCGGCAGCCATGGCTCCGCCGCGCCCGCGCGCGGTCATTGGCCGACCCCGCGTGTCCCCCTCAGAAGAACGTCTCGAAAATTCCTCACCCGCCGATGCGGTTTGACCGCTGGCGGAGTAAGGAGACTCTGCGACGTCATCACTGGCCCGAGCGTCTTGGACGTTGGGCGGTTTAGGCGGGGCAGGTGGGGCCAGGCGGCCAGCAGGGTTTGGCCTTACTGGCGCGGTAGAAGCCACCCCCGAACCGGCTGGGCCGTCGGAGGGGTCGTCAGCGGCTCTCTCCTCACGAAGACGCATCTCGTGCTGCATCTTTGCATATCTCACAATACCCATCGCGGCAGTAATCACATAGGGACCGTAGCGCCCATTGGCAATGCAAAGTGGGCCTACGTCACTGTCCTGATCTCGGTTGGATGCCAAGAGTGGGCATAAGAACAAGACAGCTTCTTGCAATTTTACGCCTTGGCGACGGAGCTCGGCACGACGCTGAGTGCAAAGATCGCGAGACCACGCTTCGACGAGGTCATCTGTGTTTGACAGCCGAACGAATACGGCGGTCCAGCGCATAAGTGTCGGTGCGGCGCTGTTCAGTGTCAAATCCGTCTTTTGTATCGCGGGTATAGATGCCAGGCGCGGGGCGTGCAATGTGGCATCCTTCGGCGAGAAAGCCATTGATGATTTCGCGGACAATCGCAAATACACGCATGACTGGGAGGTCCACATTGAGTTCTCCAACGGGAGTCCTCCAATTCTGCTCAATGGCCTCTCTCACCTCTGTAGGAACCGCATGTGCCAGCTCTCCCGTCAGGCGCGACCTGTCGGCCGCACTCCATGACATGCTGTGCCGCGACGCTGATGGCGTCCTGCGGCGTCGTTGCGACGCGCAGTGCACCATCCTCACGCTGAGTGTTCATCTGTCCGCCGGGCGGATCTATGGTGATCTTCCCCTCCAGCAACTGCGGGGTCTGGGACCGGCAGACGCAGTAAAATCGAGGGGCATTGGAGCAGGCCTCTCGTCTCCTGTCGTCTCGGCTTGGCCGGCGACATGCTTCGCAACGCTAAGGGGATGCCCGGAGCAAATCTTGTTGCGCCTGGATACTGACCTGGATGGGCGGGCAGGGCGAGCAGTGAGTTGCTCCGCCCAAGCAACAAGCGGACGTCCACGAGGGCCGGGCCCTGTGGCGTCCGCGCCGGCATCCTGTGCATCGCGCATCCAGGCCGCTACTCCAGCCTGTGCATTGTACACCGTCTGGAGAGTCGGCACAAAGATTCTTGTCCTTTCCATGGCGCTTTCCCATTCTGCCCAGCCTCGACGGGGGCACGTGCGCGATTCATCGTCGTCTGGCCAGTCAAAAGCAGCCAGAGGAGGGCACGAAAATGGGCGCGCGTACTGATCGATGCCTGTGGCCCAACTTAGGGGCCACCACTCTGCGATCGTTGGCTCGCGAGCACGTGCTCTATCTGCCAGAAACTCCAGCCACTTTATGAACCTCCTCTTGAGAGGTTCAAGGAACTGGAAGAAAGGTCCGTGGCGCGCCGGCGGCTGGGCCGCGGCGCTGTCAGGGGCCCAGGCAGGAACACTACCAGGGCGGCGGTTGCCAAAGGTTTGACCTGCAGCAGCCATCGCGGTGTATTGACCGCTCGCCCACTTACGCTCCATCTTCAAGCTGGCATTGATGTTCGCCATGACATCCGCCGACGCTTTTCCCTGCCGCTGTCGTCTCGCAGAAATGTACAGATCTTGGCGGTATGGCAAAGTGGCAGAATCATCGACGGTCAGCTTGAATCCATTGCACCACAGTGTGTTCTCAATGGTTTGCAGCTTGTACGACTGGGGCGAATAATTGTGCGCAGCCATCTATTTGTACTTCACTGCGTTATTGCAAAAGGGGCAGCGGCCGAAGCCAGTACGCACCCAATGCAGATCAGAGCAGAGGAACCGACCGTCGTCCTCCCAGGGGACGGACCGGATGAACTCAGCTGCCCTTTCAGGCCAGTCCTTAAAGTCTGGCCGCAGCGTCACCGTCTCGTCAATATGAATCGAAGCTAGCATGGAATTGGCGTCGAAATCCACCTCGTACGAGGTCCACTCCTGACTGAAGACAAGAACCCAAGAGGTCAATGGTTCATTCGATCGCAACCAATCCGGTACCGTGGCAAGCTGGACAACTTTGTCAATGTCGGTGAACTTTGGCACCAAGGTCCCGTGGCGGCAGACCCGGTACGAGAACCAGGTAAGAACACGGCCATTAAAGACAAGAACAAGCGGCCAGGATACTCTGTGCGTTGGGAGTTGGTCCCACAGACAGACTGTGTCCGCTGTGGGCCACGACCCAATCGTAGAAGGTTGTCCCACCTCGGGGGATTGGCCCATTTGGCGAAACTCCTTCGGGCGAGCACACTCACCATCCCTATGCTGGCTTAGCCAGGAGGGAAGGTGGTCTGGACTTTGCATGGCCGGGTCCCGCCTGGTCGGGAGAAGTCGCAATAATCCATAGTCCGACTCGAAACAAAGTCCCGACGTGCCCTTTATTGAATGTCCCCGAGCACCGATGCCGTTAACGCTTCCATGTCCGTAATATGGAGAAGAGGGCCATGGCACCTGGCTAGGCCAGGGTCGTAAGGCGCATACAGTCTCTCAGTGGAAGCAACGAGCGTGGAGTGCCCCTGACACGCTCTATAGAAGATGGGAATGGGACAACGATGCCGACCACCCGTATTATCGAGCCAGCTCATAAAATCCCTCCAATGCATGTGGAACATTGTGTCACTAATGCAAGCAAGGGCGTCGGAAGGTATGCCCAAGACTTCCACGGCCCCTGGCTGCAACGCGGCTAGGCCGTGTGCAGCAAGTGCCACTGTTTGGTATTCGTACACATCTTCTTGTATTTTGTCGATTAGGTCTCCAAAATAGACCCAACCTCCCGAAGACCTCGCGTAATCGGGACAATGTCTCGCGAGGTACGTAGCAAACTTTCCGATGCGCCTCGCAAGCTCGTCTGTCCGACCACTGTGGCATTGCCAAAACCCCGTGCAACCTAGGGCTGCCGGGTTATCGGCTCCAGAGACGCCTACAGCCAGCGGGGTCAGGGCCTTGTAGGCTCGAGAATCGAGTCCTTCGGGAGTTTCATCACAATAGAACTCTGCACGAAGGTAGCCCCTCGTCTGCTCAAAACTCGTTGGGTCGAGGGTTAACTCTCCTAGCAATGCAAATATGGGATCCTCGACGAGCTCCGCTATGTGTTCGAGCGTGTCAAACGCTCGATCACGAAGGGCCTCAATATTGGGAGGTAAAGGGCCAGTGGTATGAGCCTCTCGAATTCGCCGCCCGCTTCAACTGAGCAGGCGTGTCCTGTATAATTTGGGCCCGTTCATTCTCTGAAAGATAGAGGTCCCTACCCTTGAATTTGTCAGCGTGGCCAACGGTAACCTCGTTTCCGCCCTGACGGGGCGGGCCTTCCGTCGGATGAGGCTACCGCGCATCAGTAGAAGGCGGCAGGTTCGCCCGGCAAAAGTTGTTGGTCGCCGTGGGGCCGAGCCGACAATTATCATCATCAGGGTAAACTACCGGAGGGTCACCCTGATATGGAACGGCAGTGAGGTCAGCGAGAGACGGGCTGGCTTCAAGAGGCCCCGGCGTGTCTGGGACACCCGGAGCTCTTATCGCAGGAGAAGGCTCCGCAACGTCTTGGCCGCTCGAAGCGGCGACAGGTGGGGGCCTCCTTCTCAGCGGGCTCAGCCTCAGCCTCAGGAGAGCTGTCGAGCTCCTTGGTAGGGGACACATCCGCATACCTCGCCTGGAGCTCAGTCTTTCTTGCGATGACAACTTCCGTATCAGCCTCTATTGGGCCACTTTTTATCGCTATATCACCCGAACTGGCTCGGCCAGCCGGGCCATCAGG